CAGTGTAGGCAACCACCAGCTCAGCCTGCTAACGGAAACTAAGGTCCTGTCTTGCAGGTAAGGCAGTAACCAGGTTTTTACTCAGTGGAGATTGTTCAAAGAAGCCTTTGCCTGGTGTAGCAAGGCCAGGATCTGTATCACCGCTGTCCTGACTGAATTCAACCTGAGGAATTGCTCTCTGCCTCTGTCAAATTCCCACTGGGGATTCAGTTGGACAGGGTGCCAGGCCATGTTCAATTCAGTACATAGCCCTGCTGGTGTCACCTGAAGTGAAAAACCACATTCACACCGAGCGCTCTTAGTGCATACTTGGTGCTTGCTCTCTTTCTGTGAGGAGCTTCTGGATGGAACAGGTAGAGGAGCACCAGATTAGGGCTGTTAAGGTTGTTTGGGCTACAGACACCATTTGCAGCTGTTCTGTTCCAAGACTCATCCTTGCTGGCAGGATGTGGGTATTTACCAGTGCTGGTGCATGCCAGAGAGCTCAGAGCTGGATGAACCATGGAACAAAAAGGCTCTTGGACTCTTTCTCTTGAAAGAGGTTGACTGCAGAGATTTTAACTGGGAAGTGGTGAGAGCAGGGGAAGAGATAAGGGATGTTTTCTCATTGGCATGGCCACAAATCACCCTCTGTTTGACTTGGACAATTTGCTCTTGGCTGCAAAACACTGAAGGAGTTTCTGAGGTCTACCAGGTGGAAAGGATGTTCCCTAATGCCACGTCTCTAGAAGGACAGGGGATGGTTCCCCACCTTTGCAGCTCATTTGCCCAATTATGTGATCAAAACAAGACCCCTTTTGAATTTGCTGCATCTGTGACTACTGGATTCTGCTCTCAGCTGAAGAAAGCCTTTATTAATGTAATAATTGAAGAGAGTATGAATTATTGGGGGAGGGGGGACAGAAACTCATTCAAAAGCACAAGCAATGGGAGTGAAAGGTGTTTTACACAAGTGCAGCTCCTTTAACCACAGACTCTTTGCTTCATGGAGCCAAAGGTGCCTGCTACGCTGTGCTGCCCCTCAGCCAGGAGATCTTGATCATCTCTTTCCTGCCTTCCAGGTAGATTTTGTGGCGACAAGATTCCTGAACCGGTAATCTCCACGGACAGCAGGCTGTGGATCGAGTTCCGGAGCAGCAGTAACATCCTGGGCAAAGGTTTCTTTGCGGTCTACGAAGGTACAGCCTTTAGCTAGAAGAAGTCTGTCACATCGCATGGAGCAACCAGCACAGGATGCAGGGATTTGTGGGGTCTGTAGGAGTTCTGCTTCACTGTGTGGCTAGACACAGCCCCTGCTCTTGTTTTTATGGGAATCGGCAGATTTTGTGGGCTGCACCAGCAGACAAGGCATGGATCTTCCAACTAGGTCATCACATTTTGGGGGGAACAACAGGATGGCAGCACAGAGCAATAGCTGCTGTTTATAGGCCAGGTTCTGTTTGCCCTAGCCAGCCCCTGCAAGCAGCAGTGCTGGGTGTAGCAGGAGTTCCTTCCAGTAATTTAACAGGCAAAGTTCTGTTTTGGATCATACATTTTATATCACTTAATGCAGCTTATTTTGGTTTTGGTTTGTGGTTTTTTTTTTCCTCAAATGCAAAGATTGTTCTTTGGTTTCTCCCTTGTGTGTTTTGCTTACAGAAGATGAGAAATTAGCAGGTCAGATCTTCTGCAGGTCAGGTACTTTGGAAGCTTGCATGGCACTGGGATGCTGAAACCATTCGGAGGAGGAGCAGTGTTACCAAAGTCACTAATGAACCAGTAACATCCCTTCTCCATATATGCTTACTTTTTACAATAATGTTTCTAAAATGTGTTAAAGGCTTTCACTGGTCTCTGGACAACAGGCATTTTCTTAGAAGTACCAGTGTTGTCACCAGTATTGAGGCTGACTGTATTGGTACTGATGTTGCATCACCTTCTTCCTGCAGCCCCAGACACAAGCATGACACTGGAAGCCCAGTGCCCAAGTGTCCAATATACTCATGAATGATGATACTAACAGAGGGAAGTGAAGAAAACATGGGACTGTTGAGGAAGTGCAAATAAAGCTTATGAGGATTTCACAACAGCATGGGGCTAACAAATCTGTTTCACAGGAGAAATATCTGGTTTCTGCAGGAATTGTTGCCCCAGAGACAGAGGTAGCTTGCCTGATTATTTTTTTTTTTTATATCTTTCCTGAGAAGCAGCTGTTGCCTGGACCGTGTGACCCCTTTTATGGTAGTTTGTTGGAATTAGAAGTGATCAAACTAGTGTGTCTCTATTAGACTGTTTTATTTTGGCTTATTGGCTTATTGCTTTGGTGGACTGGTCAGCTTAATTCTCACAGTGGGTTATTCCCCAGTGATATCTGCTCCAACTTTAAAAGAAAAAGAAAAAAAAAAAGCAAGGTGAGGAATGTTTTTGGGAAGCAACTTCTCTGTTCTTCATCATGCATGTTAATATGGCATCATGTTTCATACTGCTAAATGATATTGAAAGAAAAAAAATTTTTACATTAGCTACATGCCAAAGTCAGTTTACAAAACTTCCTTTTCTTTTGATAATATTTCTTCCTTCCTGTTGATTAATAAGTGACCCCTAAAGGTTCAGTAAACATGAGCAATACTTGCTTCCTTTGACTTTTGAGGAGAGCAAATGAAAAGTGGAATGTGCATCCAGTGGTCGGACCTTGCATCCCTCTGACTGTTCATCTTTTTCTGCCTCTTCAAGGCTCTGGCTCTTTGTGTAACGCTTTCCTCCAAGAAACTTCCCGTTGGAAAGGTATGAAATCTATTGCTAAGCCTGAGAGTGAGCACAGCATGACTGGTGGAAGCCAGCTTGTACCACAGAAACAGTGATGGCTCATGGCACAGTTCTTGTCTTAGCTCAGCCTCCTCTTGTCAGAGCAGCAGGTAGTGAGGTTATCTGCATCTCTCTCCATAATTTATTTACAGAAATGGGAGTTTCCAAAAATCTCCCTTAATCCCTCTTTCCCCCTGATGCCATCTCTGGTAATGGCTTTGTTCTTTCCTCTGTTGTCAGGTAGCTTGCTCAGCTGTTTTGTGACTTCTGTGTCTAGGAAATAAGGGTAATTTTTATTTCCAGGAGGGAATGCCCTTAGATATTTAATTTTCAATCAATTTTTGTCCAAAAGCTCCCTGTGTTGCTGTTAGTTCCTCTTTTTCTTTTGAACTCTTCTCCGTCGCATACTAAAAAGCCAAAGTAGGTTTTACGAATGCTTCTCTGTCCTCTGCTTTAGTGAGAGGGCATGTAATTGCTCATGCATCTGAACTTTGCTGGGAGCTCTGTGGGTGAGGACTGATTTCTGGATTTGGATTCCTCTAGGTCTTGGCCCTAAAGTTTTCAGTAGATGGGAGGGAAGAGGCAGAAGGATGTAGCCACATGATGGGAGAATTACTTGATGCTAAATGAGAGTTAGCGTAGTGAAAGTGTCCTCGTAGTTCAGTCATATTGTTCCTTTTCTTTCATGAGATTCAAGGTGGGAAGATGCTGGGATTTTTTACCTACAGCTTTGCTGGAAGCCCCAAATTTGTCATTGTTTTTGCCTTCTCAGGCTCTATCAGCGGATGTTCTTTCCATTTTGCAGTAAAGCTCTTCCAGTATACTTAGCTGCTCAACGGAATTTCAGTGTGAACTGCTGCAATGGACAGAGAAAATACTGTTTGCTGGCTGACAGTTTTATGGCTGTTAAATGGTCAGTTCTCTGCTCTTGTAGTCCTCTTTCTGTTAGGTGTGGGAGAAAGTTCCCTAACGGGTCCCTCAGAGGTTCTCTCTAGCATCACTTGTAGCTCTGACTGTGTGAACTCAAACTACAGTCTGGACTGTGGTCTGCAGCTGAATTTTGGGTGCAAGTATTTGGGGGTGCCTTAGCACTGATTCTCTAAGAAAGAAGTTAGCACTGCACTAGTGAAAAAGTGCTTTTATGTCGGGCACAGTTAAACATTAGCAGCTTACAAGGCAAACCCAAGACAATTTTACCCAATGCAAGCAATTTCCAGGGCACCTATAGGGAGACCCACATCTGAACGGCTAATGCCATGCATTCTGGGAGACCCCAAGCGTGAAGGTGGTTGATGTTGGGCAGGTGTCATTGCAGAGCCATCTCTCTTGTACTTACTGCCAGTGCTTTTTGTTTGCTTGACTTCCAACACAGCCAAATCATTCTTAGGCCTTCTTTAGACATGTCTTGCCTCATGGGGTAACGCAGGTTTTAGCCTGTGATCTTCCTTTCATTTGTTACACGGCCTTGCAGACAATTATGCTGGACTGCTGTTGTCTTTGAGGTTTTTGTATTAAACTAGATTTTCACTAAATTTTCCGTTCTTGGTCTTTAAACTTACTTCTTGTTACATCTAGCACAAAGCTTCATTTGTCATGCACAGCGGTCAGTCTGATGGCCTCCTGGTGAACAGCTCAGCTCATGCTTGTTAATATTGCCATCGTGTGGCTGGATTAGATTTGCCAATGGTTTTTCTTTGGAGGTTTTTTTGCCAACTTTTCTTGGTCCTTAGTGCTGGTAGCAGATTTTAAGCAGCTATGAAGGTGACCAGGAGTGTGAAATACACAAATCCATAAAAATTATCTGTACCAGTGAGTTCACCTTCTCAGGAGGTTGGCACAGCAAGAGAGGAGACGCTGTCACTAAAACAAAATGTTAGATTTGTAAAAACTTCCATGACTTGTGTGTTGCTTTTGTGGAACAAGCAGTACTGATACAGATTTGACTGAGGAAGAAGGCTACGTATGGAGTAGGTTTTACTGAAGGAAAAACCTGCAATCTCGTGGTTTTCCCATTTGTTTTTTGTGAAGCTATTTGTGGTGGAGAAATTCACAAAGATGCTGGCCAGATCCAATCCCCCAATTACCCAGACGACTACAGACCTTCCAAAGAGTGCATCTGGAAGATCACAGTTTCTGAGGGCTTTCACATAGGAATCACATTCCAAGCCTTTGAGGTGAGAAATGTCACTGTATATTATATCACGGATATTATTTTGCCTCTGTAGATCCTTTAAAATTAAGAAGGAAGTGATATAAATAATAATTTAAAAAAAAAATTCTTTTGAATGCTTCAGAACATCATTTCTCCTCACCAGAAGTTTGCTCAGAGATTTTGAAGCCATGTTTAAAATATGAGTTTGCAAAAACTGTTACTCAAGACAGAAAGAATTAGAAGGGACACAAAATTGCTGATGATCTTAAATAGGGACTTGTGAGTCCTTAAAATTTCACTCCGGTCAAATGAAATTGTATGGTCACAATCCAGGCAAAAACTCCTGTTGGTGTCACTGAGGCTTGGCAGATTGCAGGATGTTTGTGGCTCTCCAAAGAAACGTAGTGTCCCCAGATGGCGGTCAGGCTTTGAAGAGCTCAGAAAAGGTTTTCTCCTACTGGTTATAGGACGTCTTACACTCTTAGCCAGGTGCCCACTGATCTGATTCTGACTACTGATGTGTAAGTCACAGATGGGAGTGGACAGGACCTGGGTTGGTGCATAAATCCCACCTAGCTCATAGGCTCCTGCAGCTTGTGCGCACTTATTGTGCTTGTCCTGGAAAGAGCTGACACCACTACCTCCTGTCTGTGAGCCCACAGCTGTTCCTTGGACCTTTTTGTTTGTTCTGCTCTGTTCCTTACAGCTTCTCATGGAAAAGCAGCTTGTAAGTAGTCAGGAACCAGGTTTCACCAGAGGGTAGCCATGAAATAGCAGTAGAACTGAGACGTGCCTGGGCTTGAATGCAATTTCAGCTGCAGGAGAGTTTGATGGCAGCCATAAGGCAAGTCCTTAGTTGTGACCATTTGTTTGGGATGCTCTTTTGGAAGCTGATCTCTGGCCAAAGTCTAACTGATTAGCTAGCCTGACTTGGAGCACTCATACTAGTAATCTACAGGCACACCCTTTTCCCATTGCAGATTGAATGGCATGACGCTTGTTCTTATGACTATCTGGAGATCCGAGATGGCCTCACTGAATACAGCCCATTGATTGGTCACTTCTGTGGCTATGAGAAGCCAGAAGATATCAAATCCAGCTCAAATAAAATATGGATGAAGTTTGCGTCTGATGCAACCATCAATAAAGCAGGCTTTGCAGCAAATTTCTTTAAAGGTAAGTGATCTAGTACCTCTCAAGGTCAAGGCTGGGGAGCATTCATTCCTTAACTTTCTGCCATCCCAAAGTGATCAGTTACTATTGTATCTACTTGTAGTTAAGAGCTGTTAGACAATACCAAGTTTATATACAAATTGCTTTGAGAGTGTAGAGGGATTTGGTGCTGAAGCATGAACATGACCTCCCTGATTAAGACAGAAGGCAAGCCTACTGGGTTGGTACCAGCTCAGGCACTAAGGCCTTGCGTTGCACAGCTGGACAGAGTATGATCTCCATTTATCCGTGCCAGGGGACATTGGCATTTTCAAAGAAGGTACTAGTACCGTACAAAGAGTGTTAAAAACAACTTTCTGCTTTAAGTTCAGTTCCAGAAACTTCTGGATAGAGAGTAAATCTGATTGCAAGTAGAATCCCAGGGGAAACTTCAGAGTGCTTTAGGAGACAAATGTGTTCCTAAACTGAGATCCTCTTCAGGAAAATGTGAATGAAGACTAAAATTCCTCTGAAGAGCTGAACCCAAGCCATGGTCCTTTACCAGCATCCTGATGACTTGATAGAGGCAAGAACCAAATATCTAACCACCTGAGAAAATACCTGTGGAGCAGCTGTGAGGTGGATTGTCATGTTTCTCTTGGGTTCAGTGAGAGCTGTACAGAAATAATAGCTGCAATGCCAATATTTGGATTGCATAAATCCTTTATTTCTACTTTAACTTTTGTCTTGCGTTAAGGGTGTCACGGTCTGTTTGGATCTCTCAAATTTACAGGACAACAAACACGACAGGGCTCAATCCCCTTTTCTCAGACTAGTCTATCATGTGAATTCACTTATTCACCATTCAAGTTATAAGGTTTCATAACTTATAATCCGTAATTCTTAATTCATGCACTTATGTGCAAAAAAAAAAAGGAATTAGTTAAATAAAGTTTAATTCCCAGAGCATGTTGTCCTGTAAATTTGAGAGATCCAAATGCACTGTGACAAAGGGTGATTGCAAAATCACTGGCAAATACTGTGTTGTTTAATTCCAGTCCCTGAGCAACTCTCACAGTGCCTGGACTTCCTTGTTTAAGTTTCTCACGTTCCATAAAGACACAGAGAATGCTTCTTCCTACAGACGTTTTGGCTTCTTTCAGGAGCTGACAGTGCAGGCTGACAGTGGTAGAGATGTCTTCCAGGGAGTAGCACTACACTGGCTTGCAGCAAGTCATTCTGTAGATTCTGAGGTTCTCCTGCAAGTTTGTAGGGAAGAAAGTTACACACCTGAACCTGGGATGCTTCCCTTGTGATTCAGATAGTCAGAAATAAATTTATTTATTTTTTATGTAAAAAAGCATAAGAACGCACTGCTACTAGAATTGCAGACACAGGTATTGTCTGTGGAGTGTTTGCTGGCAGACTAGATCTTGTAGTGTCCACTCAGAATTGACATTTGAACCAGAAACCATGTAGCTTGTGGATGGTTAAGGTGTTGTTAAGTCCATGTCAGTAAGCCGAGCTGCGGAGCAAAGTGTATTTGCTTGGACCAAGCACCACAGTAGCCATAGCTACACAGCTTCTAGCCAGCTTGCGTTGTGGGCAGAGCTGATGTGTTTGCAAAAGCATGGTAGACAGACCTGCGGCTACAGGTGGAGTTTCAAGCTGGGATCTGAAGTCTGCAGCCTTTACCTTCATATCCAGAGGGATTGTGACTACCAGCCACTCCATGAACAAAGTAAATGATCAAATTATATGGGTCTGCAGGCACCCTTCAGACTGTCGCCCATAGCCAATTGAGCAATGGCTCAGCTTTGCCTTAATGAATTATGAAGGGAATAGAGTTTCAACTACATGTCTTACAACACTAAAAGAAAATAACTCAGCTTAAAAAAGAGTTAAGGATGGAATTGAAGCTATGCTTTGTGAGAACTTGCAGTGGTAACTTCTAACTTTTCAGAGAAAATAAACCTGCAAACAACTCGGAGGGAGTAAGGCAGCTCAGAGGGGGTAAGTCATTGGTCACATCCAAGAGACAATGTCAGGAAGATATGAAGAGCAATTATCTCATGTCCATCCCATCATGTATATCTCAATGGAAAGCTCTAGGATTATTCTTTATTGCTTATCTTCATTTTGGTAACAAATTCGGGTTTGTTCTTTTTTTCCAGTTTTTGCTTCCCAATACCCGAATCAGTACTCAAATATTTATATTAACTGGCAATAAATTAAGTTAAATTCCCCAAAGTTGAGTCTGTTTTGCCCACAACTGTAGTTGGTGGGTAATCTCCCCATTTCAATCCTGGAGCTTTCTTGCTCCTGTTATTCCTATTTTCTCCCCCATTCCACTAGAGTGGGAGGCCGGGGAGTGAGCAAGCAGCTGGGTGGGAGTTTGGCTGCTAGCTGAAGCCAACCCACCACAACCATGTTAATAAACCCATCTATTAAGGGGGGCACATGAACTCAGGGGTTGGGGTGAGAAGCCGGTACATCTGGCTATCTGTATATTAAAATGTCTGTACAGGTTTTTGACATGTGATTGGAATAACTTGACTTCTAGGGTGGCAAGACTTCATGCGCCTATGAAAAGGAAAAACTATTTGCATGTCCTCCCAGCTCCTTTGCTGCACCCCATTCAGTGGGGCACAGCCTCCCGCAGCTCCATTCCTGTGGGCATCATGGTGGGCTGGTTCCTGGTATCTCAAGTCATTCAAGAGCATGAGGAATTTAAAAAACAAACCAAAAAACAGGAGCAAATGAGAACAAAATGCAGTGAAGTCTTTACAGTAGACCATGTTTTTGTGTTCCTGTCTAGAAAGAGCACTCTTGACTAGTAACAGTAATTGTAGTCTTTTACGGTTTTGGTGGCAGAAGTACCACCAAATTGGTATTCTGTGCCACTTGTGAGGTTTGCTGCAGTGCCTGCTCCATAGGCTCGGCTCGGCAGCTAGTACTCTGGTCCTTCTGTCCAGAAGTGTTGCAAGAGGAATATGACAGGGTTTGGGTGGTCTGGCAAGTGTGACTTGTTCTGGTTTTCTCCTGACAGAGATGGATGAATGTTCTCTGCCAGACAATGGTGGATGTGAGCAGCACTGCGAGAACACCCTGGGCAGTTACAAATGCACCTGCGAGCCTGGCTATGAGTTGACAGCTGATAAAAAGAGCTGTGAAGGTGAGTAACCTACAGATTGAGGCATCTGTCTGTAGGATGGGTGCTAATGGTAATAATGAAATTGAACAATCTTGGAGATGATTCCCCCTGCCCCTACATCCTCTTTGTTTCTGTTTATCTTACCACACCTGAAAAATTTCTTTTTGTCAATATCTTTCATTGAAAAGCAAGTTTTGGTTGAAAAACTGAAATACTCTGATTCTCTACTGCAAAACATCTGTAAAACCAGTTGTTCTTCCTGGCCAGAGATCGCTGTACAGATGAGATCTCCCATGGTACAGCATAAGAGAGGGCAGGCATTACAACCTAACTGTTGAATAGCCCCAAAGTATTTCAATCTAAGGCTGAATTTATTATTTTTTAAAAGAAGTTTCTTTTGTAGAATAAAATACCAATGTTTTTCCTGCATGCAAACCAGACATTCTCCATACTGAGGAGTCAATTCCCTTCTTCTGTTTTGGGGGAGAAAAAAACCCATGTCTTTGATAGAAACTATTTCTTTCAGCTTTCTGTTTATGCAGTTAATCTCTTGCAACAAGTGTTTGCCCTCACCAACAATACAGCTGTTGGTGTGGTGAGAATCCACCCGTTGTTCTTGTCTTGTAGCGCTGCCTATCAGCTGAGGCACATATGGAGCTCCTCACATGGTGAGCGGTGCTCTCCAAGTCACCTGGTTTGCCCTGACTTCTGCTTTTGTCAAACTCTTTGGGGAAGTCTGTCAACTGCTGTTGACTTGGTGAGGGCGGAGTTAGGTGCGTGCAAAAGGCTTCTGGAAGCTTCGCTTTATTTTTTTTTTAAATAATTTCTTGCAGTTTTGAGCAAGCCAGTTGTTATAACTTAGCAAGCGTTTTTTGAACTTCACTCTTAACCTCCTGTTTTAAACATTTGTGGGCAATACAGGAAGAATAGTCTTTGAAATCGTAGTGATGCACATCAGAGTAAATTGCTTTTGTTTCTCCAGACACACTTGCTTGCTACACTTTTTGTATTGAAGCTGCTCCCTTGGGTTAGTTCTCTTAATGCAAAATGGTGCTGGCAACAAAATGCAGGAAGCTTTTATCCCTGTGGGTTTTGAAGATGTGGCCTTATCTCATTACCCTCAAGAAACAGCAAGAAAAAATTGCTTCGTTACAAATAGAGTTTTGCAGCAAAAGAGCAAACTGAGGTTGAACGCTTTGAGGTAAAAGCTGTGCCCTCCCACAAGAGGATGAAGGTGAGATGTCCTAAATTTTTAAAGAAAATGAGATGATAAAGCTAAGTCTTTGACTTTGTCTTTGATTTTCCCTGGAGAGAATGCAGTCCACATATAATAAGGCACTGAAGAGTTGACAGGGGTGTCTTCCCTAGGATTCCATTATCTTCTAGTTATTTCATTGCTGATAAACTTTAAATAATAAGGTATGTAGGACGGAGCGTAGGTGAAATTACCAAGCTGACCTTTGTTGTGCAGGTATTGCGCACATCAAGTCAACTGATCTACGGTAAGCCCCAGGCTATAGAGTAAAACGGAGACCAATCTTACATGATTTGAGTGGCTCTCAGGGCTGTAGCCTGGCTGTGTGCATTTCACTGGTGGTTTATAGCAGGTGAGGTTTCTGTCGTCTTTGCAGCTCCCAGCATTTTAGACCTGTTCTGGAGGCCGGGGTTTGAAATGTGCCACCGACCAGGATCTGGTTCGTTTCCTAGCTAACAGTGTGGCCCAGTCTGTGTGTCTGAACAGAACCAAGTAAAACTTGTGTTCATTTATTGCCTCTCCAGCTGCCTGTGGGGGCTTCATCACCAAGCTCAATGGGACCATTACTAGCCCTGGATGGCCCAAGGAATATCCTACTAACAAAAACTGCGTCTGGCAGGTGGTAGCTCCAGCCCAGTACCGGATCTCTCTGCAGTTCGAAGTGTTTGAGCTGGAAGGCAATGATGTACGTAACCAGTCCCTGCATCTCAGAGGTGTGACTATTGGCTAACTCAGAACTGGATAAATCCTTGGGGTACAAGGAAGAGGAGGCTCTATCTTACTGGTGGAGCTTCTGGTTGTTTCTCCGCCCTTGATATAATAAGCGAGTAACAGTGATTGTTCTTGAAGTCTGGATCTGCTTTCTCTATGGAGTGGAAGGATTAAAGCTGTTCTGTTATAAGTGAGATTCTTTTCTCTGCCAGTTTTGCATAACTGTAGGTGTTTTCCATCCCTAAGAGGTGTCCCATCCCCCCCTTCCCCAGAGCTGCCTTTGTAGGAAAATAATTGGAAATGAACAATGAGGTAGAGTTCTTCAAGGATAAACAAAATAACCGGTAAAAGAATCTGTTCTCTACCCTGCCAAGGGCAGGGTGGAATTTGAACAAAGCATTCAGGTCTCACTTTCCCCACCATAACTGGTGGCAGTGGCTCTTCCTTAATTCAGCAGGCTGCTCAAGTTCATTCAACACAGTCAGGCTCTTGGATAAGGTGGGAGTAATTATTTTAGCTAAATTAAATGGAACCTTTGCTATTCTGATAAACACACCCATGCTTTAAGACCAGGGCAGCAAGGGAAAGGGGTGAGAACACTGACAGAGGAGAATTTGGGGAAGTTAGGAGTGTATTTGAGTATAAGGCTGTTTCTGTTCCCTCTCAGTCAAGCCTCTGTCCCCTTCCTCTGAAATGCTCTGTTCCAAGTCCACGGAGCTGAGAAATCTCCTTGTCTCTTGGCAGGTCTGTAAATATGACTATGTTGAGGTTCGTAGTGGGTTGGCTTCTGACTCCAAGCTGCATGGCAAATTCTGTGGCTCAGAGAAGCCTGAAGTAATCACGTCGTATGGCAACAACATGAGACTGGAGTTCAAATCGGACAACACGGTTTCCAAGAAAGGCTTTAAAGTTCACTACTTCTCTGGTACGTGGCTGCATTTTTTCACTTGCTTAGCTGTCACCTCTGACTGAACCTCTTGGGTTTGGAGAATTTTTTCAACCTCCTATCAAATCAGGCAGAGCCTGACATGGTTAGTTACATCTAAAAGGCATGGTTGCTCTATGCTGTGCGACCTTTCATCTTGGTTTCTCAGTGCAGCGTATGGTCCAGTGTCATAGTGTGGTGTCAGCAAGATGCATGGATTTCATTGATGCCTCCCATCCTTCCACAGCATGGGAAGCAACAGGGAACCCGATCTTAGAAGTTATTTCTGTCCCTGGCATCATTAGAGAATAGCTTTTTCCTCTGAAACTAGGAGAGTTACAGAAGACTTCTGGAAATTTTCTATAGCAATTCTTCCCATTAAAGCAGCGCATGCTAGTGGAAGTTTCTAATCCTCTGTTCTGAACCCTTCATAGCTCTGGGTGTCAGTGATGCACCTTGTTAACAGGCAGTTTCAGAGGTTAACTGTACATTGATGGAAGTGAAAATTCAGTTCCATTCTGTGTTTTCAGCAGAGGTCAAGGAGTATTAATGTTTTTGAGGAGGATGATCAGGCAAAATGACCTTGAATTAAGACAGCTGCAGAGTAGAATCGGGGCTAGGGGTTTGGCTTATTAAATCTTACAAGAGGAAAGATGAAGTGGGGTATGTTTTATCTAGAAATACTTTTAGGAGTGAGGAGATAGATGAGGTTAATGAGGTCCAGGGAGAGCGTTGGCCCAAGAAAAAGCAGAGATAAACCACTCATACATTAAATTGGACTGGAAATGGGGAGCAGATCCTATGCTCGGAACAGTGAGATTCCGGAATACATAGTCCTGAATACACAGGAGTGAACATGCACTGGAGCATATTTCAGCTTCGGAGAGCAGCTCTTGCCTTAGATCCTCTTCTCCATCTGGCTGCTTGTGCTCTCAGACAGAGCTATTTAAAGATGGAGGCTCATCAGAGCATGTAGGTACTTGAAAATAGAAAGATTGGCCAGTGGATATTTTTTTTTGCTTAGGCTAGTGAATTTGTGTGATGCTTTTCCTGAACCTTATTCTAAAACAATGAGACATTGCTATCGTTTTCTTTTAGATTAGCCTTTAATAATTCAAAACCTACTTTATATAATAAAACACATTTGTGACGCATTTTATGGAATGAAAGATAATTGAAGAGAATTGTAGCTGGGCTAAAAAGCTGACTGGACTAATCCAGCAGCAGAGGTTTGAGGTTTGCACTGGTATCTGCCCGTCTGGGTATGGGTCTCCCAGCTGGCAACTGCAGCAGTCCCTTTCTTGATGGCAACTCAGTGTTTGTCCTGGTTTGATCCTGCCCAGACAAGGACGAATGCTCCAAAGACAATGGTGGTTGCCAGCACGACTGTATCAACACCTTTGGGAGCTACGTATGCCAGTGCAGAAACGGCTTCATGCTGCATGAAAATGGCCACGATTGTAAAGAAGGTAAGGTCCCCGCTGCCTGTCCTCAGGAAAGGCAAGGTGCCTCAGACACAGTTTGAGCCGGGGTGCCTCCTGCCCAGTGTTGGAAGGGTGTTTGTACCACACACCATGCTGGAGCACAGAAAAAGGCCCAGCTAGCTGAAAAGATACCTAGTGAAAGGAAGAAGAGAGCTTGTTTTCAGCTGGATCTGTTCCCCATTCTGGCCTTCCATATGGCCAAGGGGATGAACAGGGTGGGGACAAAAAGCTGGGCTAGTGAAAGGAGCAGTTGTGGGACATCACCATTAGACTAGTTGCCCAGAGAGGTGGTGGAGGCCCCATCCCTGGAAACTTTCAAGACCAGGTTGGACGGGGCTCTGAGCAGCCTGATCTAGTTAGCGGTGTCCCTGCTCCTGCAGGGGGGTTGGACTAGATGACCTCTAGGGGTCCCTTCCAACCCAAAACATTCTATTCTATGATAGTCATTGCTGTCTCATTTAATTATCGGGCTGAGTCAGAAGAGAAAGGCTGAGCTGATCTAACCATTTGCTGCTGCCCAAAATACCTCTCTTCCTTTGCCCTCACCCCTGCTGTGTGCTGCCATGGCTTTTCTGTGTATCGTCTCTGGTCCTCGTCCGATCTCCATGAACTGATTCAGCTTTCCAAGTCAGTAAAGCAAATGACCCAAGGCTGAGGTAGCACCACCGTCGCCATGGTGGAGGGATTAGAGACCATGTCACCTGGAGCAGGGCAGACAAGATGGAGGAGCAGGAGAACGTGTTTGGGAGTGAGAAGGTGAATGAGGTTAATGAGGCCCAGGGGAGTGAGATGGTCCGTTTCACCAGCTGCCAAGTTAGCTCAAAAAAGCATAGGCCTTTCTGAGGACAAACCCACCAGAACTATGCAGTAATCCGAAACGATACTGTTCAGTGACTGAAGCCTTCCCTGTTCCTGCACTGTCGAGGGTCTTGATGGGCAGAGGGGAGCATGTGGGACATGACAGGGTTCCCACGTGAGACTTCCCTCAACGCCTTCAGCTTACGATCTCTGTCTCTCAAGCTGGTTGCGAGCACAAGCTGAGTGGTGCGGAGGGAACGAAAGAGTGCACCTGGGACATCTCTGCCACGCCTGGCCACCGAGTGAAAGTCGTGAGTAACCAGCGGAGAGGGAGGGGAGGAGCGGGCTGGATTGTGAGGAGCTGACGGGACCTTCCCCTGCTGCTGTGTGAGGGGGAGGTTGGTCCCCATAGGTCCTGTGTGGGGTGCTCAGAGGAGGGTGTCCCGGGATGCCACCCCTGGCCCGTGAAAGGGCAGAAGGTCTCAGAGGGACATGAGGCAGGGGTCAGGCAGCCTGGGGGAGACTCCAGCGGGTGACAACTGGGGAGCGTTGCTCTCTCTGTTAACAGAAGGTATAGCACGCCCTCCCGCCCCTGCCCCTCCTTGTGAGCCACTCCATTGGGACCATATCCGCATAAGGTGGTGGCAGGGGGCCAGTCCCCAGCCCCTCTGAGGGAGAAGCGTCAGGCCCGTTCTACAGCGTGGCCTGATGCATATGGCACGACATGCCCAAAGCTGCGCGGATGGCCCATGCGCTGGGGGAAATAATGCCTGGATCCCTGTGCTCAGTGGAAGTAATATCAAAGAACTGCCCACTCAGTGTGCTAGGCAGGGTTCCCAGCAGGAAAAACAAGAGCGTGTAAGGCTTGCAGTTGGAAGCTGTTGTCATGCATCCATGTGAGGCAGCAAAGCTAAGGCTACACAGCATTTTCATATAAACTTCTGAGCTGTGCCACCCTGAGATCACTCTCACCTGAAAGCACACTGTTCTGTTTTAGTTTGTGGAAGGAGCTGGACAGACATACGATTTGACCTGTTTCTCACTTGGAATTTCATCCTCTGCTAAACTGCATAATTTCATAGTCCAGTGTACAAATGTCTCTCTTAATTCTCCTTATTCTTGCTGTAGACCTTCAATGAGTTTGAGATTGAACAGCACCAAGAATGTGCCTATGACCACTTAGAAATGTATGACGGGCCCAACAGCAAGTCACCTATCCTTGGTCGCTTCTGTGGCAGCAAGAAACCAGACCCTGTAGTGGCTTCTACCAACAAGATGTTCCTCAGATTTTACTCTGATGCTTCTGTGCAAAGAAAAGGTTTCCAGGCAAAGCACAGCACAGGTAAGCTGGTTGCCTGCCAATACCCCAGTGCGATAAGATGTCATCAAGTCTCACTGCATTTTTTACCAGGCAAAACCAGACATACTTGTCTCCCAAATAAGCTTAGCCTGAATTTTAAGTGGTTGTATATGGTGCCAACCAGTTCCTGGACTATTGTTGGCACCACATCATAAATGCCAGCTTCCTTATCAGCTCAGAGGTCACTTGATGTCAGACATTTCTGCTCATGTTCTTTTGTTTAAATGGGAGGTGTTTGGTTGAGCAGCAACCCCTTCTGTTCCTCATCAACCTACAGTTGATGTAACTTAGCCCGTGTATTGGCCCACGCACGGAAGAGGCCCATATTAGACTGATTATGGTGGAAGCAGAGATGTGCTGTGGACAGAGACAGCTTGATCCTCTTACCTGTGGCAGCCTGGAGGTGAGTATGTTGTACCAAGGTTCACTTTTTTGAAATCCCTGGTAAACAGGTGAGATGTGCTTTGAGTGGCAGTGCATGAGAGCCTGTTGAAGAGGCATCTTCATGACTGGGGGCAGGGAAGCTCTGCACCAAAGCACACATCTTTTGTGCAAGCACAGGGCTACTCTTGCACATTGTATGGGGACAAAAGGCTTGGTTTTGGTCTCCAGTTTTTTAACGTTCTTCAACTTCCTGCTGGTAAAATGTTTGGGGTCAGAATTTCAGCTACAGGACAAGTGCAAAGAACATGTTAAGTCTTCCTTTAAGCAATTGCTTTCTAAAATAATACATTTTTCTGGAGTATAATGTGGCAGGAACTCCATCCTGCCAGTTTTAACTCGTCACTTTCCATGCGTGTTCTGTATCAGAAGAACCAAGCTTCTCTACACTTTGTGGGTCATTTGATTCACGGATAACTGGGGAATTCACTGGTTTATGGTAGTTTGGTGAAGTGATTAATTACCTTCCCTGTTGTACATGCACTTCAAGCTGAAGGTCTTCTCATGGCTGGCCCAAAAATGGGATGGTGAGTCTGTTGTGAGATAGGACCTTTAAGAGACTGTTTTGTGCCCTTTTCTTCCTCCAGAGTGTGGCGGGCTCTTAAAGGCTGAAGTGCAAACTAAGGAGCTATATTCCCATGCTCAGTTTGGGGACAACAACTACCCAGGTCAGACCAACTGTGAATGGGTGATTGTAGCTGAAGATGGTTATGGGGTGGAGCTGATATTCCAGACATTTGAGATCGAGGAGGAGGCTGACTGTGGGTACGACTACATGGAGATTTATGATGGTTACGACAGCACTGCACCCCGCCTGGGACGCTTCTGTGGCTCAGGGGTAAGCCATGGTGGTGAGCATTTCATAGGCATAACTGGAGGTGGCAAGGAAAGGTCCTTTCTGGACAGGGGCAGCTCTCACAAAGTGATGATGAGAATTGCTTCTGTGTCTGGGTTTTGCTTCTTCACTTGTTGCTAGAGATCATACCCATTTATCTGATGCACAGAGCTGGTCTGAAAACCTGCCAACTGACTTTCCCTTGTTAGCCCAGGGCCAAGTGCAGCAGCATAGGACTGCTGCACTGCCGTGCCCCAGCCTGGCCACAAAAGCATTGTGTATATGTGGGAAACAGCTTCCAAAGGCCAGTTTCATCCTCAGTCACTTCGTGCCTGCCACGTTACGTTGCAGCCATGCTATGGCATGGGCAAAGAGTGAAGAGACTTGCAGAGCTGCTTGTTGACTCCAGGGTGGCGTGCTGTCTCCTAAACTGTTATCTGTATCCCCATTAACAGGAGTGACTCTGTTAGCATGAGCAATGGTGTGCGGTATTTAAATCAGGGGGTCTATGTTTAGTTTCTCTAGGACTTCAGCAATGAAATGGAGAAGGTTCTTACTGAATTTAAACAGAGACAACCAGGTAGCAGGTGTGTGGTAGTAGTTCTTCCAAACTGGGGAAATGGTCTGGAAAATAAACAAAGGCATAGCAGCTTGGTGTGAGGAAGTTCAGGGAAGCAGGGTAGTAATCTACCTACCTGCACACAGACAAATGGAGACTGGCTGGGAAAGTGCTGGTCCTGCAGAGAAGCACAGGGAGGTTGTAGCAGGTTGCAACAGTGGGGGAGATAACCAGAGTTATCACGTAAGATAAGTAACTAAGTTATTTTGCTGCTAATGAACCCTGGGAGAGCCTCAGCTGCCAAACAGGGTCCAGTTTGGATCGCATCATTTCCTGAAAAGATAAGGGCAAATTAGAGCAAACTCAGAAGATTGGAACAAGAATATCCAGGGAGTTCTGTGAAAAAAAAAAACAACTGGAAGAACTGGGATTGTAGAGTGGACTGGCATCAGTCTTCAAATGTAAAAGGCAAGCATGCAAAAAGCAAGGGAATATGCTGAGGAAGTCAGGGCAGGGCAGGAGGTACTGAGCGCCCAGCCTTTGTGTTTACTGGCCAGTCTGTCTTCGCTGTGAGCTTAAACTCCAGCACCGTAGCGCAGACAGTTATCTAGCCTGCAGACTTGACCACTCTGTGCTGTCTTCTTTCCTTTTCTGCAGCCTCTGGAAGAAATCTACTCTGCAGGGGATTCCATCATGATTCGATTCCATACAGATGACACCATCAACAAGAAAGGCTTTCACGCCCGATACATAAGTACCAAATTTCAGGATGCATTGCACATGAGAAAGTAGTTTGACTGTTCCTCACAGACATTCCCCATCTGAAGATTGAGACATTTAACTGTGATTTTTGTCTTTTTTTTTTTTTTTTTTTTAAAGCTTCTGTGCACCTGGCCAAAAGCAGTGTACAGTATTTTCTGTAATGAAAACTAAATCCAGTCTCAAAGGTTTGCCTCTGCAATTATTAGCATGACCCTTTCTTGTTAACATACCCAGGACCAAAAATTGTCTTCTAATCATACCTGCCAGGGCACAAACATTGTATTTTGCACAGCTTGCCATGGGGCTGAGCGAAGACTGAGCTTGAATTGAGAGAAAAGCCTTTGTCTCTTGCGTGTCCTGTTTCTAGGCGACATTTCCCAAGCATCCTGGATAACATGAGCTGTCCGAACACATTTTCTGGAGCAGGTGATGTGGACAGTCACTTGGTAGGATTTTCTCAAAGGACTTTGGGAGCCGCCCACTCTCCCCTACCAGCCTAAAATACTCTGTGCAATAAGTGAACAACCAGATGGCTGGAACTCCATCACTCCTTCTGTCCCGTCTATTTATCATCTTGGTTATTGTGGGTTGAAAGCTAGGCAGGGGTACAGGGACAGTCTCTTTATGGCTGCTAGCTACTTGGATCACGGTGAACGAGAAGGGCCCTGTGCCTGATTTGCAGTAATTGTCATGGTATACATTGAGTGGAAGTACTTTGATGAGGTGGCCAAGGGAAACGTGGTGGCTGACAGTACTGTGGAGGGATGCAAGGCATGACTGTGTGATGGTGGCAAAGCTTAGCAACTGAAGTGCTGACACATGCTCCAGTTACACCACCAGGCAAGGCAGCTCAGAGGGCTGTGGTAGCAGTCCAGGCCTTAAATAAGGAATCTCTCCTCCTCACTCCACCCATGATTGCTTTCTCAGCCTTCTTTATGCTGCTTCCTTTCCTTAGTACCACTTCCCTGTGAGCCTTTCCTTTTTGCAGCTGAGCTGCTCTCCCCAGGGCTCCCCACCGCAACCCAGCAGTGCCCTGCGACATCAGCTAGCCGGAGCATCTCACCGAAGGAAACGCCGGGCCAACCTGTCAAACCTGTGCAAGTTCCAGGCATGGGATTAGGAATGGAAGAGCTCTGATGGTTTCTGCTTCCTCCCCATTCCTCACTGGCCCATGGTCCAGTTTCTTAGCCTCACGGCAGGGGTGCAAGCAAGATGGTAACTTAAGCACTTTGAGCTATAAGGCTCAGGCATGCTCTGTGTTGCAGTTATTTATGTACATGGAAGCTACCAAGCCATGGGCTTGCAGAATTAACAGGTAGTTTGGCACTTGTTTGGGAAAAAGTAGGGAAAACTGTGCTTTTGGGGGAACCACTCTAACTGAGCTGTTGATATGGGAAGAAAAAAGAAAAAAAAAAAAAAGACTTTATTCTGAATGATATTTCATTAAAGCACTCATGGGCAGTTATGAGCTAAAAGCTGAGGTATGTTAGCTTTAATAAAGTATTTATAATCCAAGGATTACTATGTTTACATAACCAATATACTGTCAGACTCTGGGGTGACACCTCCTCTCTGGTGTATGACTGTGGAGAAGTGTGGGGCCAGCACCACTGTCAGGCACAAACGACATTCCTGGAGCTGAGGGCATTTCCAGATGGGTAATAAATAGACCCAGCCCTCTCCAGAAATCCTTGAGCAGAATACGGTCCAAGTATTGTGAATACTAGGAGAAGCAGATGCATGAAAATATTTTGTTGCTTAGAACAAGAAAAATAATTTATATACACACACACACAAAAGATTATATGTATATAAAATGTGCATGTAGAAAGAAGACCAGTAGTCAAAGCCTTAATAAGTGTCATGTGAACAATACTGTACCATTGAATATAGCTTTATTGCAGGCTGTATAAACCCATATTATTCCTGTTTTGGTTTTTTAGCTCTGTTTTGTTCCTCTTTTCATATTTTACGGCCTTTTTACCAGCAAGACCTCTGATCTCAAGCTGTTCAACCATGCAGATCTGGGGAAGTGAGCTCTGCTAGGTGGGCTCTGTGTTTGTCCTTCTCTTCCTTGCCCCTGTTCAAGCAAAATCACAGTCCCTTAGGTCTGGAAATAACAGACATCGATTCCTGTGAAACAGAAGGAAAGTTTCAGGTGGCAAGCAGTGGTTCAGGTTTCCTGGCTCTCTTATGGGAGCAAAGACTCTGGAGAGAAGAGACTGTAGCAGCTTCCCATGTACTTTAGCATCTCTGTTCCATGTTCTGGTAATTTCCCGTCTTCCCCAGACTGGTTTGTTGCAGATGCTTGCAATGTGGTTTGACGGATCTACTACACTTGTTAGCATCCATGCAGGTGTCTCTTGTGACAGTGTGCTCACAACTGCTATACCGTGCGTTTCAACCAATGATCTACGTAGAATATTTCTGCTGTACTGACTGGGCTTAACAGTCAATAATTCTAAAAGTGTGAAAGTTTCTTAAGAAAAAAGAAAAAAATGTCAGACCCTCTAAGGTGTGTATACTTATTCTGGTCTTTGTGTGATTTTACATTTCACTAACTCAAGTAATTTTTTAAGAGGGGGAGGAGAGGAGGGTGTGGGGGCAATCAATGTGTATGCATACAAATGTACCTGTGCCCAGAATGAGTCTCTGCGTTCATTAAAGACTGTGGATTCAGTTGCACGTTCTGTCGTATGCATGCATTCACTGCTTCCTCAAGGGGAGGAAATTTCTTAATACATTCCTTGTTCTGCCAACTGTTGTTTGTGTCTACTGCTAATACCGGGTGGGATTTATGCTCTGCAGGAAGCGACTTTCCCTGGAGCCTTTAGCTTTGTCTCGGCTTTTGCCATCAAGAGGGCATTTAGGAAGTGGGGAGCAGAGGAACAAGTTGGTCAGCCAAAGGGCTGCATCATTGTGTTTCATGTTCTGCACTCATGCTTTAGTGGGCTGAGGGGCAGATCTGCAGCAATAAACATCAGGGATCTGGGAATTAGTCTGTAAGTAGACTTCAAAAGAGGAGGCTCATTTACTACACTACAGGCTACGGCCTTTGGCAGCAGGCCCCAAAGAACCTGGGACATGAAACCCCTGTGCAAAGTCCAGCAGGATGAGCATGAGGCAGAGTTGTGGTGTGTGCTCTCACTGTGGCAGCAAAATGTTCAGTAGCTGGGCGGCACCTAAAGTAATTTTCTTCCTCTTTCTGTCCTCTGCTTGATATCTACCCTGCTTGTTAAGAATCATGTCTGTGTTCTTTCCCCGACACATAACCAGTTCATGCCTGTCCCGCCACCCAGAACATTGCCTGTGGTGTGTGTCGCGGCCGCTCAAGCCTTTGTGGTGACTGAATTTCCTGCCCGCCGCTCCCAAAGGTAAAGCAGCAACAGAGATGAAGTGAGGAATAAGCATCCCCTTGCAGCCTCCCGCACAGTGTGACCCTGGAGGCTGGCAGTCATTTCAACGTGTTAGAAGGCCCAGGAAGCCTTCAGTCAGTCACACAGAGAGTTACAGTCCAAAATGATATTGAAAATGATGCAGCCCAAGAGAAGCCAGGGAGAAATAGGAAGTGAAATAGAAGGTGTAGTTTGAACGGTAGTCACAGCTGTTAGAGAAACACACAGACGTTTGCAATTGCAGCGAGATAGGTTCTTACTGTGTGCGTGATCTGGCTGTTGGATGTGTAAAGATCTTTTGCAGGCTTTCATCTTCCCTGCTGTTCAGCTAGCCTGTTGCCTTAATGTCTCTTTCCACACTGATTGCCTGCCATCAGTGCTGTGTGACATGGCCAGCCCTCATTTTCTCTGCTTATTTCTAGAAACAGGACTTAATTTTCCAGAAAGCACCAAGGACCGTCCAGTCACCGCGTGTGAGGTGCTGAAGGGAATCTCCATTGTCTGCCAGGAGATTCTTCATCTTTTAAAAACACGAGCAGCCAGTGGTACAGTGCACTTCAGACCCAGCACGATGCCTCGGAACAGCCAGCCTCCTTGGTCTCAGCATCAAGCCAGCAGAAATCCTCCGCTTTCTCCTGGCGTTTCCAGCAAACGTGCTCTGGTAAACAAGGTGCAAGTCTTAGAAAGCAAAAGCAGGATCCCCCTCAGGCTGACCTGCGGTACATATTAAACACGCTGTCAGAGCCAGGAGTGGTTTTATTTGCTGTGAAGCTGCAGAGAAGAGGCGGAGTCCCCGGCACCCTGAACCCCAGCTTCCCAGGCGCATGCCAGACCCTGCCCCTGGCAGGGACCTGGCTCTGTCAGGTGTGCTGGGACCCAGCCAGGTTGTCTGAGTCAGCCCAAGAGAAATGCCATCGTCTCTTCCTCTTTGCAGGTCAGCAGTTCAGTTTTTAGCAGGAAGAGAAGCTCATCCGAAAAGGAGCACTAACCCTGGCATCGGGTCGTCTGCTGTTAACGTGTGCAGGGATTTCTTGGGGAGAAGAGCAAAATGGTGAGTGGGAGTCATCCTGTCGAGTGTGTTGAGTCTTGTTTGGATTGAAGTATCAGGGGGAGGTCAGAGTACAGGAGAGGCGAGGCCACGGGACTGCTTTGCTGTTGGATTAAAAGCTCCCTGGGAACGTTTAACCCTCCTGTTCTCTGCCCTGACCAGATCAGTCAAGCTGGACCCTTTGTTAGCTCTGCATTTCCTTATGGTGCAACCAATGGTTTCAGGCACTTTCTTGGATCTATCCCAGCTTTTCTGTCCTGGAGGTATCACCTGGTCTTAGAGTGGTTGGAGCCAAGAGGAGGCTTGTGCCCTGGATCATGCAGTGGACCCTTCTTGAGGAGATTTCCTGTCCTGGGAGGTGGGACCTGCTGAAACACATGCTGTCTGTTTAGAAATGGCCAGGTGAGAGTGGCTGGGAGTGAAAACTCCTTCCTCCCAGCAGCTGGCTGGCTCTGAGGCTAGAGCAACTCCTCTGGAATTTAATAATGAATTAATTCCATGAGCATTCACTGAAAACATGTTCTCGAAGCATCTTGGTTGACAGCCGAGCTGGGGGAGTGCAGCACAAAGTTACTTGTTAACAGCAT